GAAACGCTTCAGTCTGGCTTTAGACCCCATCATAGCACTGAGACTGCCTCCAGTCTGGCTTTAGACCCCATCATAGCACTGAGACTGCCTTCAGTCTGGCTTTAGACCCCATCATAGCACTGAGACTGCCTCCAGTCTGGCTTTAGACCCCATCATAGCACTGCCTCCAGTCTGGCTTTAGACCCCATCATAGCACTGAGACTGCCTCCAGTCTGGCTTTAGACCCCATCATAGCACTGAGACTGCCTCCAGTCTGGCTTTAGACCCCATCATAGCACTGCCTCCAGTCTGGCTTTAGACCCCATCATAGCACTGAGACTGCCTCCAGTCTGGTTTTAGACCCCATCATAGCACTGAGACTGCCTCCAGTCTGGCTTTAGACCCCATCATAGCACTGAGACTGCCTCCAGTCTGGCTTTAGACCCCATCATAGCCCTGAGACTGCCTCCAGTCTGGCTTTAGACCCCATCATAGCACTGAGACTGCCTCCAGTCTGGCTTTAGACCCCATCATAGCCCTGAGACTGCCTCCAGTCTGGCTTTAGACCCCATCATAGCACTGCCTCCAGTCTGGCTTTAGACCCCATCATAGCACTGAGACTGCCTCCAGTCTGGCTTTAGACCCCATCATAGCACTGAGACTGCCTCCAGTCTGGCTTTAGACCCCATCATAGCACTGAGACTGCCTCCAGTCTGGCTTTAGACCCCATCATAGCACTGAGACTGCCTCCAGTCTGGCTTTAGACCCCATCATAGCACTGAGACTGCCTCCAGTCTGGCTTTAGACCCCATCATAGCACTGAGACTGCCTCCAGTCTGGCTTTAGACCCCATCATAGCACTGAGACTGCCTCCAGTCTGGCTTTAGACCCCATCATAGCACTGAGACTGCCTCCAGTCTGGCTTTAGACCCCATCATAGCACTGCCTCCAGTCTGGCTTTAGACCCCATCATAGCCCTGAGACTGCCTCCAGTCTGGCTTTAGACCCCATCATAGCACTGAGACTGCCTCCAGTCTGGCTTTAGACCCCATCATAGCACTGAGACTGCCTCCAGTCTGGCTTTAGACCCCATCATAGCACTGAGACTGCCTCCAGTCTGGCTTTAGACCCCATCATAGTGCTGAGACTGCCTCCAGTCTGGCTTTAGACCCCATCATAGCACTGAGACTGCCTCCAGTCTGGCTTTAGACCCCATCATAGTGCTGAGACTGCCTCCAGTCTGGCTTTAGACCCCATCATAGCACTGAGACTGCCTCCAGTCTGGCTTTAGACCCCATCATAGCACTGAGACTGCACTCGTGAAGGTGGTAAATGACCTTTTAATGTTGTCAGACCAAGGCTCTGCATCTGTCCTCGTGCTCCTAGACCTTAGTGCTGCTTTTGACACCATCGATCACCACATTCCTTTGGAGAGATTGGAAACCCTAATTGGTCTACACGGACAAGTTCTTGCCTGGTTTAGATCTTATCTGTCAGAAAGATATCAGTTCATCTCTGTGGATGGTTTGTCCTCTGACAAATCATTTGTAAGTTTTGGTGTTCCTCAAGGTTCCGTTTTAGGACCACTATTATTTTCACTATATATTCTACCTCTTGGTGATGTCATTCGGAAACACAATGTTAACTTTCATTGCTATGTGGACGACACACAGCTCTACATTTTGATGAAACATGGTGAATCCCCAAAATGTCCTACCCTGGAAGCCTGTGTTTCAGACATAAGGAAGGATGGCGGCAAATGTTTTACTTTTAAACTCGGACAAAACAGAGATGCTAGTTCAAGGTCCCAAGAAACAAAGAGATCTTCTGTTGGATCTGACAATTCATCTTGATGGTTGTACAGTCATCTCAAAAAAAACTTTGAAGGACCTCAGACCCTGATCTCTCTTTTGACGAACATATCAAGAATATTTCAAGGACAGCTTTTTTCCATCTTCGTAACATTGCAAAAATCAGAAACATTTTGTCCAAAAATGATGCAGAAAAGCTAATCCATGCTTTTGTCACTTCTAGATTAGACTACTGCAGTGCTCTACTCTCCGGCTACCCAGATAAAGCACTAAAATAAACTTCAGTTAGTGCTAAACACGGCTGCTAGAATCTGGACTAGAACCAAGAAATGTGATCATATTACTCCAGTGCTAGCCTCTCTACACTGACTTCCTGTTAAGGCTAGGGCTGATTTCAAGGTTTTACAGCTAACCTACAAAGCATGACATGGGCTTGCTCCTACCTATCTCTCCGATTTGGTCCTGCCGTACATACCTACACGTACACTACGGTCACAAGACGCAGGCCTCCTTATTGTCCCTAGAATTTCTAAGCAAACAGCTGGAGGCAGGGCTTTCTCCTATAGAGTTCAATTTTTATGGAATGGTCTGCCTATCCATGTGAGAGACGCAGACTCGATCTCGACCTTTCAGTCTTTACTGAAGACGCATCTCTTCAGTAGGTCCTATGATTGAGTGTAGTCTGGCCCAGGGGTGTGAAGGTGAACGGCAAGGCACTGGAGAGACAAACCGCCCTTGCTGTCTCTGCCTGGCCGGCTCCCCTCTCTCCACTGGGATTCTCTGCCTCTGACCCTATTACGGGGGGCTGAGTCACTGGCTTACTAGTGCTTTTCCATGCCGTCCCTAGGAGGGGTGCGTCACTTGAGTGGGTTGAGTCACTGACGTGATCTTCCTGTCCGGTTTGTCGCCCCCTTGGGCTCGTGCAGTGGAGGAGAACGCATTGCGTTCATCCACCTCTGGCCTGCTGGCTCCCCTACCTCTGTTGAAGCACAGTTCCCGCTCAGCCCAGTCAAAACTGTTCGCTGCTCTGGCACCCCAATGGTGGAACAAGCTCCCCCACGACGCCAGGACAGCGGAGTCACTCACCACCTTCCGGAGACATTTGAAACCCCACCTCTTTAAGGAATACCTGGGATAGGATAAGTGATCCTTCTACCCCCCCCCCCCCCCCCCCTTACCCCACCCAAAAAAATTAAATAAAAAAATGGTAAAGTGGTTATCCCACTGGCTATAAGGTGAATGCACCAATTTGTAAGTCGCTTTGGATAAGACATCTTGGAGAAAAATCTGGCCTTAATGGCCATGTACTCTTATAATCTCCACCCGGAACAGCCAGAAGGCCACCCCTCAGAGCCTGGTTCCTCTCTAGGTTTCTTCCTAGGTTCCTGCCTTTCTAGGGAGTTTTTCATAGCCACTGTGCTTCCACATCGGCATTGCTTGCTGTTTGGGGTTTTAGGCTGGGTTTCTGTAGAGCACTTTCTGACATCTGCTGATGTGAAAAGGGCGTTATAAATAAATACATTTTGTGGGGCTCTAGATGTGATGACTAGCTTAGAAGGAATGCATTAATGATTAAACATAATGGGTTTGTCCTGTACTGATATAAATTGTTTCACATAACAAGCTGTGATTCATGTGAGGAACGTTAGGGGGTAGGATGAGATAAGACTTGTATTTCTCACAGACACGAACACTGCCTCTTTGTGATCTGTGAACCGTCCAAGGACGTAGGTACAGGGGAACAGTGTCTATGGGTGCTGACTCTACAGGTTGTGATGATAACAACTTATGCCTGGCAACAGTGTGCAACGGTGGAGCGCCAAGGGGATGGGACCAGCCTGTGCGCCAACTATAGGCTGAGTAAGTCTAAACCACGCCCAGTCTCTACTCTGATAGGCCCAGCAAGGAGCGGGAACTATCACTGTCAGGGTATTTAAAGAAGAGCCTGTAACAATGGATCAGTTCTCGTGAGTGCCCTGCGTGGAGCGTAAGCTATACAACCAGTTTTCAGGTCCCTTTGCTCATTTTTCATGCCTCTGACATACGGTAATGGTAAATAATGGTGTAATAGCCTACAGGTTTCTTGACATTTTGTTTTCATTATTGTGATAGGCTCATGTTTTACCAGTACGGGCTTACGCACACTATTTCTGTACCAGACCATACCGCCTTCCTTTCTCCCCTGGTTATTGTTTTCAAATATGTATTTTTGCACTGGCAGCTAAACTTAACACTAAATATACACATTTTAAATATGCATGTCACAATTCCAGACATAAATGCACAAACAGTATTTTCTGGCAATTTATCTGCTCACTTTACCAGCATTGCTTTGTGTAGACAAGAGAAAAATAGACTTGCTTTCTAATTTGAAGTGCATGATGGCGTTGACACTCTATTTTCTCTCATTCACTACTGTGCATTCTAATTCAAATTCCAGGGTGTGCAAGCTCTTAAAAAACACTTTTCGTTTGATTTGGTCTTTAAAAGACCTTCACTTGAAAATCGAGAAAAAAGCGGCAATTGTATTTATTGTTTGTCGATTTTGAGACTATATAGCCAACAGGCCTACACTTCCTCCTCAAAATAGTCAGAATTTCTAAGATAACTGAAGAAATCTATCATTAATTTTTTCATTTTTGCCGAGGAGATCTTAGTAGTGCAATTTTACATCTAACTAAGATGTTTGGTGCAGTATTTCGCAATGAAAAAATGTGCATGAAAACGACTCCTCTCTCGTTGAAAGACCCTACTGTTGATCAATCACCGACGAAGGGGTGTAGACTTCCGCTACCGATTGAGGTTTGCCTCAAGAAAAAATTTCGTGTACCCGAACAGCCGAAAAAAGTTTCAAAAAAGTCCAAAACGAATAAAAACGTTACAGAATGTCCTTATAATAAATGCACGAACGCCCCGAATTGGGGGCTGCATGTGCATTATTGGAATTTAGCTCCCCGGGACCTCCCTCAAAATAGATAAGGCATTATAATAAAATAATAATATGCCATTTAGCAGACGCTTTTGTCCAAAGCCACTTACAGTCATGTGTGCATACATTTTTACGTACGCATTGATTGACAGGCAATAAATGAAACGGATAAGGCATTGATTGACAGGCAATAAATGAAATGGATAAGGCATTGATTGACAGGCAATAAATGAAATGGATAAGGCATTGATTGACAGGCTCGTCCTGATACTGTTTCTAGACGAAACATCCGGCGTCAGTCGGAGCTCCAGAAAGTTCTGGCACAGTCTGCTGCAGTATATAAAACCAGACATCTTCCTCGGAGGCAGTATTCAAGACGGGCGTTTACTGGCACTGACGAACAAAAAGGTAAATAGACGACATGTTACTATGGAATTGGAATAGTTTGTTTTCAATATTTTCTGTTCATTAGAACAAGCTCTTCGATAAAAGCCAGACATCGTTGACAACTGCTAGCTAGCTTTGCCAGACGAGATTCTTGTAGGCAGTTTGCCAACTATATGTGGCTATTTATTTGAAACAACATTGTAACTTGTCAGCATTTCTAGCTCCTTGGTAGCCAATATTCAATATTCGGCTTTTCTTTATCTTCAAAGAGGGAGGTTAGTTTACTTTTATTTTAAGCTAACAGTAATTGATTTGGTGTATCTAATTCTCATGCCTCTGTTAGCTACTACAGATCCTCCCACGAAGATGGTTAAAGAGACAGGTTTCTATGACACTTTAGGTGTGAACCCTAAAGCCACACCAGACGAGATTAAAAAAGCATACAGAAAACTGGCACTGAAATACCACCCGGACAAGAACCCGAATGAAGGAGAGAAGGTAGGCTAACTGTCTATTTTAAACAGCACACATGGCTAAATGGCTTCTAGGACTGACAGGGACAGAATGTGAGGAAGGAACCTTCTGGAATGACCTCAGGGGAAGGCGCTATGTGCCAACCTGGTCTCAGAGCGTTTTGTATTATTCTGTACGTATATCCGAGATACTACAGTTAGTATGATATGTTTCGTATGTGTTAATTTGTGGATGTCCATCAGCCGTTTCGTATGATAAGTTACGAATTACATTTCGTACTATATGTTACGAATTTGCAAAACATACACTGAATGTTACATATTTGCAAAAACGTATGTTACAAATTCTGGCTAGGTGGCTAACATTAGATAGCCTAGGGGTTAGGGTTAAGTTTAGGAGTTAGGTTAAAGGGTTAGCTAACATGCTAAGTAGTTGCTAATTAGCTAAAGTTGTCAGTGATGAGATTCGAACTCGCAACCGTTGGCTTGCAATATGTTCATGTTATACTATATTAAGGTATCTGTGACCAACAGATGCATGTCTGTATTCCCAGTTGTGAAATCCATAGATTACGGCCTAATGAATGTATTTCAATTGACTGATTTCCTTAAATGAACTGTAACTTAGTAAAATCTTTGCAATTGTTGCATTTGTTTTTGTTCAGGATAATTTGGTTGTTTCGGAACAAACGTTTACTATGTTACGTCTAGTCTGAGACCAGGGTGGGATTGCAGCACCACCCCTAACTGTAGCCTTATCTCTGCTCTAGGTTGATTTAAATGTACTGGGTGAACCCTGAAAATAACACGCACCTGTTTGCTATTCAGTTGTTCTCTAGCCTGAAGCCTAAAATGAGTGTTGCTTCTCTGAATAAATAAATCCTTACGCAATGATAAATGATTTAACACTGACTAGCTATTTTGATATGGCAGTTAAACAGAAAAATGAGGAAGCTCCACACTAATATTGAAATAAATCTATTCCATCTTTGGTATTGCAGTAAAAGACACACATGTTTAAATGTAGCTACAATTGTCATGGAGTTGGCTATTACGGTATTATAAGAATCCAAAACCTTTTGACATGATGCATGATATTGACATTACATAATGGTCTCTTCCCTCCAGTTCAAGCTGATATCTCAGGCCTACGAGGTTCTGTCAGAGCCCAAGAAGAGGGACCTCTACGACAAGGGGGGAGAGCAGGCTATCAAGGATGGGGGCATGGGGGGAGGAGGTTCCCCTATGGACATATTCAACATGTTCTTTGGAGGCGGAGGCAGAATGCCTCAGCAGAGGGATAGGAGAGGTAATAGGAATGTTACAAATTTACTGTCTCACATTGGGGTGGTTTCCAGGACACAGATTAGTCTTAAATCAGCTTATCACAGTGCCATCCGTTTTGTCTCCAAAGCCCCATACACTACCCACCACTGTGACCTGTACGCTCTCGTTGGCTGGTCCTCACTACATATTCGTCGCCAAACCCACTGGCTCCAGGCCATCTATAAATCACTGCTAGGCAAATCCCCGCCTTATCAACACCCACCCGTAGTCTGCGCTCCAGCAGGTATATCTCACTGGTCATCCCCAAAGCCAACACCTCCTTTGGCCGCCATTCCTTCCAGTTCTCTGCTGCCAATGACTGGAACAAACTGCAAAAATCTCTGAAGCTGGAGACTCTTATCTCCCTCACTAACTTTAAGCATCAGTTGTCAGAGCACCTTACCGATCACTGCACCTGTACACAGCCCATCTGAAATTAGCCCACCCAACTACCTCATCCCCATATTGTTATTTATTTTGCTCATTTGTACCCCAGTATCTATTTGCACATCATCTCTTGCACATCTATCATTTCAGTGTTAATACTAATTGTAATTATTTTGCACTATGGCCTATTTATTGCCTTACCTCCATAACTTGCTACATTTGCACACACTGTATATATATTTTCTGTTGTATTTTTGACTTTATGTTTTGTTTTACCCCATATGTAACTCTGTGTTGTTTTTATTGCACTGCTATGCTTTATCTTGGCCAGGTCGCAGTTGTAAATGAGAACTTGTTCTCAACTGGCTTACCTGGTTAAATAAAGGTGAAATAAAAAAATTAAAATTAAACTAATCCAGGACTAAGAAGCAAGAATCTCCATTGAAAAAGCTTTTTAGTCAAGGATTAGGCTTTGGATAATCTGTGTCCAGGAAACCGCCCATTATATGTTATTTGTGCTACTAAAAAATGAGAAATCATATTGCGTTGTTATTGTGTAGTGATGATTGTGTGTTTGGTCCAGGTAAGAACGTGAAATCATATTGCGTTGTTATTGTGTAGTGATGATTGTGTGTTTGGTCCAGGGAAGAACGTGGTCCATCAGCTCACGGTGACTCTGGAGGAGATGTACAATGGAACCCAGAGGAAACTGGCCCTGCAGAAAAACGTCATCTGTGAAAAATGTGAAGGTATGTTGCAATCCAATATCGAAACCAAGCTCCCCCCATTATCAGATTTGTAGGAGTACTGATCCAGGATCAGTTTTACCTCTGAAATCATAATGAATAAGAGGGGGTACATGATCCTGGATCAGCACATTTACTCTGAGACGCATTGTGAATACGGGTCCAGGTCTCGTGTCTTCCTTCTGAGTTCCGCCAGGTCTGAAGTCCATTACTCTAACTCTGTCTAGACTTGTACTACAGGTTACGACTCCTAACTCTTGGTTGTCTGTACTACAGGTTACGACTCCTAACTCTTGGTTGTCTGTACTACAGGTTACGACTCCTAACTCTTGGTTGTCTGTACTACAGGTTACGACTCCTAACTCTTGGTTGTCTGTACTACAGGTTACGACTCCTAACTCTTGGTTGTCTGTACTGCAGGTTACGGCGGTAAGAAGGGCACCCTGCAGACGTGTGGTTCATGTAAAGGCAGAGGAGTGGAGATCAAGGTGCAGCAACTCGGGCCAGGCATGATACAGCAGATCCAGACCATGTGTGCAGAGTGCCAGGGAGAGGGTGAACGTTTCAACACTAAAGACCGATGCAAGACCTGCAACGGACACAAAGTAGAACGCAAGAAGAAGATTCTAGAGGTTCACATTGACAAAGGTTTGTTTGAGGTCCTCTTCCCTTGTTGGGATGTTTTAAAACGTTTAAAATAAGTGATTTTACTGTACAATACTGAGATGTATAATCCCCAAATGGGAAATAGTTTTCCCCAAATTCCCTAGAGCTTGAATATCAGAAGTTTCAACTTGCTGTAAATAATAGTGTCTGGGGCGCCCTCTGGTGGAGTGTCTGGGGCGCCCTCTGGTGGAGTGTCTGGGGCGCCCTCTGGTGGCGTGTCTGGGGCGCCCTCTGGTGGCGTGTCTGGGGCGCCCTCTGGTGGCGTGTCTGGGGCGCCCTCTGGTGGCGTGTCTGGGGCGCCCTCTGGTGGCGTGTCTGGGGCGCCCTCTGGTGGCGTGTCTGGGGCGCCCTCTGGTGGCGTGTCTGGGGCGCCCTCTGGTGGCGTGTCTGGGGCGCCCTCTGGTGGCGTGTCTGGGTCTGAACTAACCTGTATTACTATGCATCCTGTAGGTATGAAGGGGGGTCAGAAGATAGCATTCCACGGGGAGGGTGACCAGGAGCCTGGTCTGGAACCAGGTGACGTGGTGATCGTGTTGGACCAGCAGGACCACCCAGTGTACCAGAGGCAGGAGGATGACCTGCACATGAAGATGAGCATCAAACTGGTGGAGGCCCTCTGCGGCTTCAAGAAGACAATCCGTACGCTAGATGGCAGGGTGCTCATTATCACCTCTCCACCAGGTAATACATTATAGTGGGTATCATAAGAATTCACCCCCCTTGGATTTCTTAAAATGGGTATTTTGTTACGTTACAGCCTTATTTTAAAATTGATCAACTTGTTTTTTTCCTCATCAATCTACACACAATACCCCCATAATGACAAAGCAAAAACAGATTTTTAGATTTTTTTTCAAATGTATTGAAAATAAAAACATACCTTATTTACATAAGTATTCAGACCCTTTGCTATGAGACTCAAATTGAGCTCAGGTGCATCCTATTTTCATTGATCATCCTTGAGATGTTTCTACAACTTGGAGTCCACCTGTGGTAAATTCAATTGATTTGGAAAGGCACACACCTGTCTATATAAGGTCCAACAGTTGACCGTGTATGTCAGAACAAAAACCAAGCCATGAGGTCGAAGGAATTGTCCGTAGAGCTCAGAGACAGGATTGTGTCGAGGCACAGATCTGGGGAAGGGTACCAAAAAATGTCTGCAGCATTGAAGGTCCCCAAGAACACCGTGGCCTCCATCATTCTTAAATTAAAGAAGTTTGGAACCACCAAGACTCTTCCTAGAGCTGGCTACCCGGCCAAACTGAGCAATCGGGGGAGAAGAGCCTTGGTCAGGTGACCAAGAACCCGACGGTCACTCTGACAGAGCTCCAGAGTTCCTCTGTGGAGATTGGAGAACCTTCCAGAAGGACAACCATCTCTGCAGCACTCCACCAATCAGGCCTTTATGGTAGAGTGGCCAGACGGAAGCCACTCTTCAGTAAAAGGCACATGACAGCCCACTTGGAGTTTGCCAAAAGACACCTAAATGTCTCTCAGACCATGAGAAACAAGATACTCTGGTCTGATGAAACCAAGATTTAACTCTTTGGCCTGAATACCAAGCATCACGTCTGGAGGAACCCAGGCACCGCTCATCACCTGGCCAATACCATCTCTACGGTGAAGCATGGTGGTGGCAGCATCATGCTTTGGGGATGTTTTTCAGCGGCAGGGAATGCGAGACTAGTCAGGATCGAGGGGAAAGATGACTGGAGCGAAGTACAGAGAGATCCTTGATGAAAACCTGCTCCAGAGCGCTCAGAACCTCAGACTGGGGCGACGGTTCACCTTCCAACAGGACAACAACCCTAAGCACACAGCCAAGACAACGCAGGAGTGGCTTTGGGACAAGTCTCTGAACATCCTTGAGTGGCCCAGCCAGAGCCCGGGCTTGAACCCGATCGAACATCTCTGGAGCGACGCTCCCCATCCAACCTGACAGAGCTTGAGAGGATCTGCAGAGAAGAATGGGGGGAAAACTCCCCAAATACAGGTGTGCCAAGCTTGTAGCGTCATACCCAAGAAGACTTGTCTGTAATCGCTGCCAAAGTACTGAGTAAAGGGTCTGAATACTTACAGTACCAGTCCAAAGTTTGGATCGACTCATTCAAAGGGTTCTTTATTTTTACTATTTTCTACATTGTAGAATAATAGTGAAGACCTCAAACTATGAAATAACAAATATGGAATCATGTAGTAACAAAAAGTGTTAAACAAATAAAAAATATATATATTTGAGATTCTTCAAAGTAGCCACTCTTTGCCTTGACAGCTTTGCACTCTCTTGGCATTCTCTCAACCAGCTTCATGAGGAATGCTTTTCCAAAAGTCTTGAAGGAGTTCCCACATATACTGAGCACTTGTTGGCTGCTTTTCCTTCACTCTGCGGTCCGACTCATCCCAAACCATCTCGATTGGGTTGAGGTCAGGGGATTGTGGAGGCCAGGTCATCTGATGCAGCACTCCATCACTCTCCTTCTTGGTAAAATAGCCCTTACACAGCCTGGAGTTGTGTTGGGTCCTGTTGAAAAACAAATGATAGTCCCACTAAGCCCAAACCAGATGGGATGGCGTATCGCTGTAGAATGCTGTGGTAGCCATGCTGGTTAAGTGTGCCTTGAATTCTAAATAAATCACAGACAGTGTCACCAGCAAAGCACCCCCACACCATAACACCTCCTCCTCCATGCTTTACGTTGGGAACCACACATGCGGAGATCGTCCGTTCACCTACTCAGCGTCTCACAAGGACACGGCGGTTGGAACCAAAAATCTAATTTGGACTCGTCAGACCAAAGGACAAATTTCCACTGGTCTAATGTCCATTGCTCGTGTTTCTTGGCCCAAGCAAGTCTCTTCTTCTTATTGGTGTCCTTTAGTAGTGGTTTCTTTGCAGCAATTCGACCATGAAGGCCTGATTCACACAGTCCCCTCTGAACAGTTGATGTGTCTGACTTGAACTCTGACGCATTTATTTGGGCTGCAATTTCTGAGGCTGGTAACTCTAATGAACTTATCCTCTGCAGCAGAGGAAACTCTGGGTCTTCCATTCCTGTGGTGGTCCTCATGAGAGCCAGTTTCATCATAGCGCTTGATGGATTTTGAAACTGCACTTGAAACTTTAGAAGTTCTTAATTTTCCGTATTGACTGACCTTCATGTCTTAAAGTAATGATGGACTGTCATTTGTCTTTGCTTATTTAAGCTGTTCTTGCCATAATATGGACTTAGCCTTATTTGGTAAAAGACCATCTTCTGTATACCCCCTCTAGCTTGTCACAACACAACTTAATGCATTTGAGCGAATCAGAAGAAAATAAATTCCACAAATTAACTTTTAACAAGGCACACTAGTTAATTGAAACGCATTCCAGGTGACTACCTCATGAAGCTGGTTGAGAGAATTCCAAGAGTGTGCAAAGCTGTCATCAAGGCAAAGGGTGGCTATTTCATTAGTTAACTGCACCCTCTCTTAACAAAAACACTTTAATCATTTTTCATATTACATTCACAATCCACAGGATGGAAACTTCATCTATGCAGTGGGTATACTTTCCAAGTTAGTATGTCTTTTAACATTTTTAATGACTTCACAAAATTACATTCGTGTTCTATAGATCGCCTCTGACCATTCCCCAAGTTCTACGTTAGAAATATTGTTCCAGTATTCGATTTTGAACGTGGTAGAGTTTCAGCGGGAAATGGGTCTGTTGAAACAAAGCACATTCCTTTGGTGAATTTGAAGAGCACCGGCCTGGATTTTCTCCCTTGGTTTTCAACAGGACGTGAGTTGTTAATCACCACTAGTTCTTTCCTTCCCCCTCTACGGGTGAGCGGGGGTCTGATTGAAGTTATTCATTGCAAACCTGATCTGACCTATTTGGATTCTCGTGGTCAGTCATGACAATATATTTAAATGGTGCTTGGACCTCCTGGTATCATATAAACACACAAGACATGGAAAAATAAGTAGTTGCAGGAAATGAGCTTCAATATTTTCTCTCCGCCAACGAGGGGTGTGAACAGTTTGGGGTCACATGGAGTTTATTACTACACCGATAAATGACAATATCAATCCGGACCTTTGCAACCTAGGAAATGTGTGTGACTGGACCTTCTCAAATAGTACTTGAGTATCTCTGCCCTATTATTTCACTTAATGAATCCAAGTAACTTATTGTGATTTTTGTTAAGCAAATGTATACTCCTGAACTTATTTAGGCTTGCCATAACAAAGTAGGTAAATACAACGACACTTTGTTAAATTTTTTTAAAATTAATTTGTCAATTTGTAGAATGTTCTTTTCACCTTGACATTATGGAGTATTATAGTATTAGTAGTATTCTGTTTCCCCCCCTAAAATATCACGATTTAAGACCTTCATTCCCACTTTGTAACGCAACAAAATATGCGATAATGCAAGTTGTGTGTTCTTTGTTTCCAGGGAAAGTAGTGAAGGCCAACGATGTGAGGTGTGTTCATAATGAAGGAATGCCCATCCACAGAGACCCTTACGACAGAGGACAGCTCATCATTCATTTCCAGGTTAGTAGGCTCTATTGGCCTGACTAAACTAACACATGATATGTAGCTGCACAGTATGATTGAACTAATACGTGATATATAGTAGTGTTGTCACGATACCAACATTTTACAAACGACACGATACCAGGCCAAGTATCACGAAACCGAGCAGTATCGCGATACCACAGTGAGAATTTTTTTTGCCCTGTTCACATTTTCTAAACGTTCTCTAAAAACCTAGCACTGAAATTCACACTTCTACTCAATACAACACATTTACTTTAACTTCACACTGTTCACTGTATAATAGAATGCTGCATACAGTGGGGAAAAAAAGTATTTAGTCAGCCACCAATTGTGCATGTTCTCCCACTTAAAAAGATGAGAGGCCTGTAATTTTCATCATAGGTACACGTCAACTATGACAGACAAATTGAGAATTTTTTTTCCTGAAAATCACATTGTAGGATTTTTAATGAATTTATTTGCAAATTATGGTGGAAAATAAGTATTTGGTCACCTACAAACAAGCAAGATTTCTGGCTCTCACAGACCTGTAACTTCTTCTTTAAGAGGCTCCTCTGTCCTCCACTCGTTACCTGTATTAATGGCACCTGTTTGAACTTGTTATCAGTATAAAAGACACCTGTCCACAACCTCACAGTCACACTCCAAACTCCACTATGGCCAAGACCAAAGAGCTGTCAAAGGACACTAGAAACAAAATTGTAGACCTGCACCAGGCTGGGAAGACTGAATCTGCAATAGGTAAGCAGCTTGGTTTGAAGAAATCAACTGTGGGAGCAATTATTAGGAAATGGAAGACATACAAGACCACTGATAATCTCCCTCGATCTGGGGCTCCACGCAAGATCTCACCCCGTGGGGTCAAAATGATCACAAGAACGGTGAGCAAAAATCCCAGAACCACACGGGGGGACCTAGTGAATGACCTGCAGAGAGCTGGGACCAAAGTAACAAAGCTTACCATCAGTAACACACTATGCCGCCAGGGACTCAAATCCTGCAGTGCCAGACGTGTCCCCCTGCTTAAGCCAGTACATGTCCAGGCCCGTCTGAAGTTTGCTAGAGTGCATTTGGATGATCCAGAAGAGGATTGGGAGAATGTCAGATGAAACCAAATGGGGCGGCGCACAATTGGCCCAGCGTCGTCCAAGGCAGGGATGTAGCTCAGTTGGTAAAGCATGGCATTTGCAACGCCAGGGTTGTGGGTTCGATTCCAGTATAAAAAAATATGATGTTAAAATTTATGCACTCACTAACTGTAAGTCGCTCTGGATAAGAGCGTCTGCTAAATGACTTAAATGTAAAATATAACTTTTTGGTAAAAACTCAACTCGTCGTGAGTTGCATCCAAAGAACACCATACCTACTGTGAAGCATGGGGGTGGAAACATCATGCTTTGGGGCTGTTTTTCTGCAAAGGGACCAGGACGACTGATCCGTGTAAAGGAAAGAATGAATGGGGCCATGTATCATGAGATTTTGAGTGAAAACCTCCTTCCATCAGCAAGGGCATTGAAGATGAAACGTGGCTGGGTCTTTCAGCATGACAATGATCCCAAACACACCGCCCGGGCAACGAAGGAGTGGCTTCGTAAGAAGCATTTCAAGGTCCTGGAGTGGACTAGCCAGTCTCCAAATCTCAACCCCATAGAAAATCTTTGGAGGGAGTTGAAAGTCCGTGTTGCCCAGCGACAGCCCCAAAACATCACTGCTCTAGAGGAGATCTGCATGGAGGAATGGGCCAAAATACCAGCAACAGTGTGTGAAAACCTTGTGAAGACTTACAGAAAACGTTTGACCTGTGTCATTGCCAACAAAGGGTATATAACAAAGTATTGAGAAACTTTTGTTATTGACCAAATAATTATTTTCCACCATAATTTGCAAATAAATTCATTAAAAATCCTACAATGTGATTTCTGGATTTTTTCCTCATTTTGTCTGTCATAGTTGACGTGTACCTATGATGAAAATTACAGGCCTCTCTCATCTTTTTAAGTGGGAGAACTTGCACAATTGGTGGCTGACTAAATACTTTTTTCCCCACTGTAGATAGCTGCACAGTATGATTTAATTAATACATGATAGATGGCTGCACAGTATGAGGTAGGTTCCTGCCATCAGCTCTGCTTGTTTAAGGAGATCCCTTCTAATCTAAGAAGATTATCGTTGTGGTTTTCTAAGAGCCACCTCTCACCGCCTGCTAAGCCTGTATCGGGGTTGTCTGAAATGGCACCCTATTCCCAATATAGTGCTCTACTTATCTAGGGAGCCCTGGTCAAAAGGAGTGTACTATATAGGGAATAGGGTTGGTTGCCATTTGACACACAGCAGTGATACAGGCTGACATTACATGGAGTACAACTAGTGTCAGGTCTGTACTCACCTCTCCATGTCCCTCCCCATCAGGTGGAGTTCCCAGATAAACACTGGCTGCCAGAGCACCTCCTCCCCAAGCTGGAGGCCCTCCTCCCCCCCAGAGACGAGCATCTGATCTCAGACGACATGGAGGAGGTAGACCTGACGGAGATGGATCGCAACTACTCCCAACAGAGGAGCTCCAGCAGTGGAGGAGGGAAGCCGAGCTTCGACGATATTGACGATGAGGAGGGGGGTGGCCAGGGCGTGCAGTGCCAGCAGCAGTAGAACGTAGAAACTCATGCTGCGCTGAATGTTTCGTTTGTAGAATCTATGTATACAAATCACGTCAAACTCAGTTCCTGAAGGACTGGGTTTGACAAAAGCCTTATTCATTAGAGTTCATAGTCCACTGTTCTCAAGCGCTGCACTGAAATGCCTACTTTCACAGCAATGTCATGTTTTAGGCAGGTACATCCAAGCCATATCTCTTTAGGCAGTACATCCAAGCCATATCTCTTTAGGCAGGTACATCCAAGCCATATCAGTTGTTTTCCTCCAGATACCATTCAACAGCCTGTTGTTTACCTGTGTGGATATACTGAGGGTCAGGTTAGGATAATTAATGTGGCAGATTAGGTGTAATAACCTTTATTCCCCTAACCTGCTATGTTAAAGTCAGGGAAAGGGTTAACTACAAAGCGCCAGTTGTCAAAAGCTGTTGTCCCCGACACGACCACTAGATGGAGCTGTAGGCCTACTTCATCTAGCCACAATGGGAGAAACGTAAACGGACCATCACTCCCAACATACATCACTATCATTACACCTGCACTGTTTTTCTCCATGTGTAGTGTAAGTTGTGTGTGTGTTGTTTTATTTTATATGGATATGTTCATAAGAGTGATACTAGGAGGTACAGGAAACAGACTTGTTGCTTAGGTTCCATAACTCACAACGGGAACCCGTATGCTTTCTATGAAGGTAATGTTACTTTCCCAAATAAAACCTCAAGAATGCCTTCTCATTTTTTTAAAACAAAGTTGACATTTTTATTATCGCTGCGTTGGATTGTGCTTTCAATTTAATCTGGTTCTCTTTATACGATTCATATCCGCAATTGTCAAGTATCAGCATACACATTATTATAAAGCCAATATCAGTTATATATAATACATTACATAATCAATAGTCTTATTGAGAAGATTCACTTTGGACAAAAGTTGTAGGCTATTGAAAGTAGGGCTTTTATTCTGAAAACTGGTCTGATGGCAGAAAGATCAGCCGTGTCATTTTACTATTCCTCATGTCATTTTTCTATAGTTCTGTTTTTCTCTGCATTGTTGGGAAGGGCCCGTAAGGAAGCATTTCACTGTTAGTCCACACCTGTTTATGAAGCATTTGATGAATAAAATGTTATTTGATTATATTCAAAACAAGATGATTCATTGCAATCAATGAAAAGTTAAGGCAAAGATCCGTGGGATGACGTCAAAACGTCCGTGTTCAACATCCGCTTCAATGCTGCTTCCTCGTGAAGCAGCAAAACAACAGACAGGAATTAATGATCTACTCAGAACAGTTCCACTTCCTTTATTCTACTACTTTTGACAATTATGAAATCTGTTTTATTCCACAGGGAGATGACAGAACAGTTCTAAACTGCTCCTGACTGGGTGGTCTTGTTGTTTCCAGGAAGTGATCTAAACTGCTCCTGACTGGGTGGTCTTGTTGTTTCCAGGAAGTGATCTAAACTGCTCCTGACTGGGTGGTCTTGTTTCCAGGAAGTGATCTAAACTGCTCCTGACTGGGTGGTCTTGTTGTTTCCAGGAAGTGATCTAAACTGCTCCTGACTGGGTGGTCTTGTTGTTTCCAGGAAGTGATCTAAACTGCTCATGACTGGGTGGTCTTGTTGTTTCCAGGAAGTGATCTAAACTGCTCCTGACTGGGTGGTCTTGTTGTTTCCAGGAAGTGATCTAAACTGCTCATGACTGGGTGGTCTTGTTGTTTCCAGGAAGTGATCTAAACTGCTCCTGACTGGGTGGTCTTGTTGTTTCCAGGAAGTGATCTAAACTGCTCATGACTGGGTGGTCTAGTTGTTTCCAGGAAGTGATCTAAACTGCTCCTGACTGGGTGGTCTTGTTGTTTCCAGGAAGTGATCTAAACTGCTCCTGACTGGGTGGTCTTGTTTCCAGGAAGTGATCTAAACTGCTCCTGACTGGGTGGTCTTGTTGTTTCCAGGAAGTGATCTAAACTGCTCCTGACTGGGTGGTCTTGTTGTTTCCAGGAAGTGATCTAAACTGCTCCTGACTGGGTGGTCTTGTTGTTTCCAGGAAGTGATCTAAACTGCTCCTGACTGGGTGGTCTTGTTTCCAGGAAGTGATCTAAACTGCTCCTGACTGGGTGGTCTTGTTGTTTCCAGGAAGTGATCTAAACTGCTCCTGACTGGGCGGTCTTGTTGTTTTCCAGGAAGTGATCTAAACTGCTCCTGACTGGGTGGTCTTGTTGTTTCCAGGAAGTGATCTAAAACTGCTCCTGACTGGGCGGTCTGTTGTTTCCAGGAAGTGATCTAAACTGCTCCTGACTGGGTGGTCTTGTTGTTTCCAGGAAGTGATCTAAACTGCTCCTGACTGGGTGGTCTTGTGTTTCCAGGAAGCGATCTAAACTGCTCCTGACTGGGTGGTCTTGTTGTTTCCAGGAAGTGATCTAAACTGCTCCTGACTGGGTGTCTTGTTGTTTCCAGGAAGTGATCTAAAACTGCTCCTGACTGGGTGGTCTTGTTTTCCAGGAAGTGATCTAAACTGCTCCTGACTGGGTGAGTCTTGTGTTTCCAGGAAGTGATCTAAACTGCTCCTGACTGGGGGTCTTGTTGTTTCCAGGAAGTGATCTAAACTGCTCCTGACTGGGTGGTCTTGTTGTTTCCAGGAAGTGATCTAAACTGCTCCTGACTGGGTGGTCTTGTTTCCAGGAAGTGATCTAAACTGCTCCTGACTGGGTGGTCTTGTTGTTCCAGGAAGTGATCTAAAACTGCTCCTGACGGGTTGGTCTTGTTGTTTCCAGGAAGTGATCTAAAACTGCTCCTGACTGGGTGGTCTTGTTGTTCCAGGAAGTGATCTAAACTGCTCCTGACTGGGTGGTCTTGTTTCCAGGAAGTGATCTAAAACTGCTCCTGACTGGGTGGTCTTGTTGTTTCAGGAAGTGATCTAAACTGCTCCTGACTGGGTGGTCTGTTGTTTCCAGGAAGTGATCTAAACTGCTCCTGACTGGGTGGTCTTGTTGTTCCAGGAAGTGATCTAAACTGCTCCTGACTGGGTGGTCTTGTTTCCAGGAAGTGATCTAAACTGCTCCTGACTGGGTGGTCTTGTTGTTTCCAGGAAGTGATCTAAACTGCTCCTGACTGGGTGGTCTTGTTGTTTCCAGGAAGTGATCTAAACTGCTCCTGACTGGGTGGTCTTGTTGTTTCCAGGAAGTGATCTAAACTGCTCCTGACTGGGTGGTCTTGTTTCCAGGAAGTGATCTAAACTGCTCCTGATTGGGTGGTCTTGTTGTTTCCAGGAAGTGATCTAAACTGCTCCTGACTGGGCGGTCTTGTTGTTTCCAGGAAGTGATCTAAACTGCTCCTGACTGGGTGGTCTTGTTGTTTCCAGGAAGTGATCTGAACTGCTCCTGACTGGGCGGTCTTGTTGTTTCCAGGAAGTGATCTAAACTGCTCCTGACTGGGTGGTCTTGTTGTTTCCAGGAAGTGATCTAAACTGCTCCTGACTGGGTGGTCTTGTTGTTTCCAGGAAGTGATCTAAACTGCTCCTGACTGGGTGGTCTTGTTGTTTCCAGGAAGTGATCTAAACTGCTCCTGACTGGGTGGTCTTGTTGTTTCCAGGAAGTGATCTAAAACTGCTCCTGACTGGGTGGTCTTGTTGTTTCCAGGAAGTGATCTAAACTGCTCCTGACTGGGTGGTCTTGTTGTTTCCAGGAAGTGATCTAAACTGCTCCTGACTGGGTGGTCTTGTTTCCAGGAAGTGATCTAAACTGCTCCTGACTGGGTGGTCTTGTTGTTTCCAGGAAGTGATCTAAACTGCTCCTGACTGGGTGGTCTTGTTGTTTCCAGGAAGTGATCTAAACTTTCATGTCATTACACTCTCAGTCTTAGATATTTGAAGAGGTCCTCTTACACAGGACTAACACCCACATACAGTTGGAAGTCGGAAGTTTACATTCACTTTGGTTGGAGTCATTAAAACTCGTTTTTCAACCACTCCACAAATGTCTTGTTAACAAACTATAGTTTTGGCAAGTCAGTTAGGACATCTACTTTGTGCATGACACAAGTAATTTTTACAACAATTGTTTACAGACAGATTATTTCACTATCATAATTCCAGTGGGTCAGAAGTTTACATACACTAAGTTGACTGTGCCTTTAAACAGCTTGGAAAATTCCAGAAAGTGATGTCATGGCTTTAGAAGCTTCTGATAGGCTAAGTTACATCATTTGAGTCAATTGGAGGTGTACCTGTGGATGTATTTCAAGGCCTACCTTCAAACTCAGTGCCTCTTTGCTTGACATCATGGGAAAAATCAAAAGATATCAGCCAGGACGTGAGAAAAAAAATTGTAGACCTCCATAAGTCTGGTTCATCCTTGGGAGCAATTTCCAAACGCCTGAAGGTACCACGTTCATCTGTACAAACAATAGTACGCAAGTATAAACACCATGGGACCACGCAGCCGTCATACCGCTCAGGAAGGAGACGCGTTCTGTCTCCTAGAGATGAACGTACTTTGGTGCGAAAAGTGCAAATCAATTCCAGAACAACAGCAAAGGACCTTGTGAAGATGCTGGAGGAAACAGGTACAAAAGTATCTATATCCACAGTAAAACAAGTCCTATATCGACATAACCTGAAAGGCCGCTCAGCAAGGAAGAAGCCACTGCTCCAAAACTGCCATAAAAAAAGCCAGACTATGGTTTGCAACTGCACATGGGGACAAAGATCGTACTTTTTGGAGAAATGTCCTCTGGTCTGATGAAACAAAAATAGAACTGTTTGGCCATAATGACCATCGTTATGTTTGGAGGAAAAAGGGGGAGCTTGCAAGCCGAAGAACACCATCCCAACCGTGAAGCACGGGGGTGGCATCATCATGCTGTGGGGGTGCTTTGCTGCAGGAGGGACTGGTACACTTCACAAAATAGATGGCATCATGAGGAAGGAAAATTATGTGGATATATTGAAGCAACATCTCAAGACATCAGTCAGGAAGTTAAAGCTTGGTCGCAAATGGGTCTTCCAAATGGACAATGACCCCAAGCATACTTCCAAAGTTGTGGCAAAATGGCTTAAGGACAACAAAGTCAAGGTATTGGAGTGGCCATCACAAAGCCCTGACCTCAATCCTATAGAAAATGTGTGGGCAGAACTAAAAAAGCGTGTTCGAGCAAGGAGGCCTACAACCTGACTCAGTTACACCAGCTCTGTCAGGAGGATTGGGCCAAAATTCACCCAATTTATTGTGGGAAGCTT